GAAACACTCCGGCGGCCGACGAGAAGTACTTCGCCGACAGCTTCAAAGCGCTGTCATTATTGAGACCTTCGCTCACATGAGTTGTTCCCAAATGGCTCTGAAGAGCGGCGATATTGAAGAGAATGCAGACCTTCTCGTAAGCGATGCTCGAAATGGTGATAGTGTTGGAGGTGTAGAAGAAGGAGCCGCTCTTCCCGAAGGCATCATTCCATCGGAACGACACCTCTATGTGCGGACACTTCGACTCCAATGCCACCAATTGGTCGTAATATCTGTCAAACAAATGAGACAATTATAGCACACCTGTCATCACACCATTGCTCGCATACTTCTGGAGCAGTTCCAGGGATGCCTCGCTCCTCACGTCCAGTGACTTCGAGATACAATTGGCTCTCATTTTGTTCAGAGAAACCATATTATCCTTCAATTGGTTCAACTCATCGGCGTTTGACGAGTGACTCGCCATCACCTCTTTGAACGGCTTAACCAAATCCACATCATATGAACGCTTCAGAGGAATCGCTATTAAAGACGCCATTCTTGGGATCAAATGACAGACTAATCGCAGACTTGACAAACGACTCAATCGATTGTCTGATTGTGTGAATGAATGCAAACTAAGTTGAATCACAACAACAGTCGACCTATGATTCACTACATCAGTGCAGACACGAAATGCCAGTACGAGAGACACACTTCACTCCCCTGACACGAAATCAGTGCTTTCTATTGCAACATTTGGGGGCCAATCACCACTCCCTCCCTCATTACACGTAACATCATATGTGAATAAGTTGTCAAACAAGTGATTGCCTCCCATTCTGGTAAGGCTTTCCACAAAGACGTCACCACTTGGGAAGTTAAAAGCAAACAGAGACACACTTTCCCGGAATCGGGATGTAATGTGCGATAAAAACCTTTTTAATGAAAATTGTGTTAAAAATTAAAATAAACTACAAATGGGTGTGAATTGAGGTCCAATTTATTAGAACTAATCGATTAATAAGTTATTAAACATTTGACAAAATTGTGATTTTATATCAAAAAAGAAAAATCAATTCAATAATTAAGGAATAAATTGAATGAAAAGCGAATGAAATACTTCTAATAAATACTTGAAAAAAGTTTTAATACATATTTAAATGAAAGCCATTTAACAGAATCCGTAACTTTTGGAAAGGTATGCGAAGAGTGAACCAAATCTATTGAGAACTGCTTTTAACGTCTTTTCTTGCGTTTGGATGTTTCGACGGGAGGGGCGGCCCTCTTGTTGGGCCCTCTGGGAAGGCCGGGCTTAGGTCCGGGCTTTTTCTTGGTCTGACGCTCCTTCTCCTCCAACTCCTGGTTCTCCCTCTCAATCAAAGTGATCAAAGTATTACATCTGCGCTGCAGTTCCGATGCGGTCCGGCTTTTGATGAACCAATCGAACCGAAACTGAGGGGCACTTCTGATGGCAGACTTGAGCTCATCGTAAACCAGTTCCCTATCGAAGCCTAACTTGTGAAGCATACATACGAGGAAGCGGTCCTCCTCTTCGGTGTAATTCTTGCCTTTGTTAGTGCCGTACGCTATCCTCAACTGATGGAACGGAGCTCTATATCGAGACATCTTCGAGTCGAGCGCTCTTTTGATATCCTGAC